CCCCCCCCCCCCCCCCCCCCCCATGTTCAATGTTTGCTTCTGAAGTCATTTATGTAGTTCTGCACTGCAGTCATTCAGCAGTGGGCCTGTTAATGCATACAATGTGCCCTTCCAGCAAAGCCTTTAAGATGTTTTCACTGTAGCATATATACTGCCTTGGAAGGATTTAAACTGCACCAAAAATTAAAGGATTTTTTCCAGTTCACCTGGAGGGGAAAAATGAGCATCACTTTCTTGACAGGAGATGAAAGAAATAGAGAAAAAATATTTTTGGGCCACACATGAGAGCACTTATTTACGGTAGTTCTCATCATGGCATTTAACTTGCCCTCTGTTGAATCTTCATATTTCTTGTATCAGACACCTACAGCGTAGAGCTCTACTGAGCAGAAAATGCAGTTTGTTCATATATTTTTGAAAAAATAAGATTCAGATGAATTGAAATGGGAGACAGCAACAAATATTTTTATATCTTTTCTTTCACTGTGAAAAGAAACCATTGCTGATTCCACCTCAGTCTGTGTATCAGTTAGTGTTAGGCATTTATAAAAAATAAGAATAAAAATAAGTCTCAGCAATTTATTCTACAGAGGTTATTTTTGTTCTACACCTTGTCTAGGTAAGTGCATCCTGCTTTACAGATCAAGACAGTCATACAAAGATGTCTGTTTCAGATGTCTTATTGTCAGTATCTTTCATTGATTCCTATGATTCCTTGTGCTGAAAGTGAAGCCAGGTTTATCTGCGTCAGTGCAAGGCTTGGGTTGTACAGGAGGCTGGGCGCAATATCTGCACCTAAGAAGTAATTATAGCTCAGGAGACTTGGCATCCAGTTGTCTGAGGAAATAAGTGGGCACACCATAAAACTCTGATCGTTTTAAATCGGAGGATCTCCTGTGAACGTAGATAAGCCCACTGCAACTGACCAGTTCACTTCTGACTCCTGTTAAATTCTGTATCATAAAACACAGTGGTACTGTTTTCTTACTCTGCTGTCATGCAAACAATGGGGTGAATTTCAATGGAAAATATAGCCTTTGTTGTCCTAGCCTGGGCATACCTCTCTGTGGGAGTTGAAGTGACTGAATCTCCCTTGTAGAGCTGCAGGCTGCTATAAAATGTCATCTCACTTGGGAGCTGTTGCTGTTTTTCCTTCTGTTCTTTTATTTGGAAAATTCTCAATATTCCATTGAGTCCTGGAGGCACAGACTTAGGATTTTGTAAGAGAGAAAAAGAGGAACGCCTCTCAAGATTCAGCAAAAAGCTGAAGTGTTTCCGAGAGTTTCTGTTTAAAGCAGTTAGCAACTGCTACTGTGAGGGGTTTTTTACTTATCTCAAAGCCTAGCTCTGTAGCTAGTGGTGTGTTGGTAAGTAAAGGAGTAGATGAAATTATTTTGTGATGTATCTGGGAAATGGGTAAAACTTCTATGCCAGACTGAAGACTCCCTTGCCCTTAGCACAGCTGTGACAGCAGCACAAAGGGAGCTATAAACAAGTTACTTCAGGTTTTCAGTAACAGAAGGAATTGGAGATTAGAGATGAGATTTTCCCTAGTTTGAATGGAAGAAGGAGGAGCTTCTCACTTCACAGGCATCCAGTGCAGCTCACCATTGCTAGTCAAGCCCAAGGGCGTTGAATGGGAAAGCTATTAAGAGAAACACTCAAGATGGAGATAAACTCGTCTAACTCGGCTTCCATGGCTGATCCAGTTCCCAGACCTTTTAAAGGTCAGGGAAGTGAAACAGGCACTTCTGCAGGGCAGTGCTTTTTCTTATCTCTTTTATATGGCTCTTTTAGGATGAAGTGAATTATACCCTGGAAATGACTGTTCCTCTTCAACTGTAGAATGAGTCTAGATAACCAGCTCAGACCAGATCTTTGTAGTAAAAGAGTCCACAACTTGGATAAAAGCATCCCACCATCAGGGGTTTGAACTAGGAAAGGGAAGGAGATCGAAAAGGTTTTTTCCCTTCTTGGAGAGTATGGGATGGGGCTGAGATTATATGCAGGCCCGGAGCTTGGTGCTGTCTTAATGGCGTACTAGTGGCATAGACTCCTGCCAGCCTGACAGACACACTTGATGGTAGGCAAGGATTCCTTTCAAACCTGTGGGTAAGGCTTGAACATCCTTGGTTGATGCCACAGTTATGCTTCTGAAAGTTGTCACTTGTGGCTTCCATGTTTTTAGCTGTAGTGTTGATTTTGTTAAGAAATTCCCGTTGTTCTGCCTCCAGGAAACAAAACCAAAACAAAAAAGCAAGGTTTTCCCAAAGAGTTCCTTTTTTGTCTGGAAACAGAGTATTACAAAAAATCTGTTTTGGTAGTAGGTGATAGATGAGCCCTAGCTTACTACAACAAGGGATCTCTGATAGATCACTGGAGCTGACCATTAGACAAAGCACAGTTGGGGCAGAGTTTTAACGACCAAATTTTTCTTCCAGAAATGGCAGTGTGTGGAAGATGCCAGTGGAAAGCTCAAGCTACACAAGTGCAAGGGAATGGCGAACTTGGCAGCTGCACGCAACAGCAAAGGCACCTCCAATATTTTGCCCAAGTATTACAACAGGAATAGTGAAGACTGTAATTGTGAGGAGAATGAATATAAGCTGAGCCATGTTGGACGAAGAAAGAAACTTTTCTCCAAGAAAAGTAAGCGAATGCACTGTATCTTCTGTCTGCTGTAGAAACCCGTTATGAGTTTGTTCAGTAACACACATAATTGTCTGATTTTTATGGACATTGAATTCTATCAGCATATTTTACTGTGTATCTAACTGTGAAACGGCATGCCTCATATTGCACAATCAGATTTGAAAATATCTCTGTAGGAAGAGGAGTGTTTTAATTCAAAACAGGGTCCTATATTTATGTCTTTCAAAACTGGGAAATGCAGTACACACCCTGAAGTGGCAAGTAGCACGTGTTACACAGGCCATGAAACATGAACAGTATTTTACAGCAAATATTCCATTTTTCAGTAGGTACTGGAATGCTTGAAGCCCTTACTGCAGTAATTTATTTTTAATAAGGATGCACGTGCTTTGTTACAGAAGCTGTTTGCTTCTAACATCCTTTCCTTGTGCTCAGTCAGCAGAGACAAGGCTGACTTTTAACCAGAGATCACGTCCGAAGGGGATGACTCTGTTTCTAGTTTCCTTGGCATAGATGAGGTGCTTTTTCAGAAAGCCTATTTCACTGGCTCTTTGTTAAACCTTAGTCAGACTAACATCTATATTTGAAGTATATAGTCTAATTATAGATTAAAGAGGGAAACGGCAGTACAGAATTATTATTCACTTGTAATGTTTCTTTCGTCTCACTCCACAAATACAGAGCCTTAATTATTTAGCAGATTAGTCTTTCTGTATAATGACCTGGCACAAGCTTCAAACAGAGAGTTTAAATTGATTTTCTCCCATTATATTTGCCTTGCAAGCTGATTAGTACCTACTAAGCTAATTTTTAGTTGAAAAAAATTATTGGTTCCAGGATGAAATTACTCAACTATACTTGCTGTTTAAATATGTGGCACAGCAGATAATCTTTAAATAACACTAGAACTTGCAGTTCAATTAACTTCTCCTTTTTTTTTTTTTTTTTCTTTTTTCTTGAAGTCACAGAGAAGAAAGTTCAGTCATGGGGGGTTAAATAACAGGAGTAGATTGAAGGCATTTATATGAGAAGAGGAAAACAATTTAAGTGAGGGCAACATAATGCTATCTGATAATACTTAACACTTACTTAAGTACTTTTCATCAGTGTCATGCTTCCAAAGCATTAACTAATTTTCACAACATCCAGAGAAGGTGGTTAAGTGTATAATTACCTTAGTTTATGTATGGAGGAGGTTGAGTCAAAAAAGTGGAGGTTTCTCCCTCTAGCAGAGGAATCAAAGTGATGGGTTTTTCCCTATGTTCTGCTCAGAAGAGGCAGGGTTTATACTTTATGCTTCAGCTCACTTGCCTTGTTGAACCGTAAGACATAAACTTCAGCAGTGTAAGATATGATCTTGACAATCATGTTCCCATTGCTTATGTCTTGAGTAAAATAATGGACTCCACAAATGCTTTGTTTTTCCTTCTGCCCACATCCAGGGTGTGACATACAGTGGAAGAGGTTAGCTTGGACCTATTGACATAGACCCTTTGATTTGGTGTGGCTATTCTTTTACATGCACTTACCTAATAAATGCCACGCTGAACACAAATGAGCACAAAGCAATACAAGTCATGGTAACATCCCAAGGTTTATCTAAACAGCTTACCTAGAAAGCTGACTCACGGGATTGTGAATGGTAAGGACATGACCTGGATGCTCGCATATTTGGATTTTTATGACCTGTGAGACTTGGGATAAAGTGCAGTCTGTCCTGGGTTTGCATAGTTCTGAGAGCATCTTTGGGGTGTGCTACACACAATTTGATGAGTGCATGGGATCATACTGTAGATCTACTTGAGTGCCAGTAAATGCTCTTCATCAGACTGAACAGTAGCTAAATAGAAAACAGAAGTTTCGAACTGGACTGGAGTCACATCCACATTAATGCTTTAGTTCACAGCAGTAGTGTAGCTCTGAAGAAAACACCCTGATCATTCTCTCCTATCATGCACAATAGAGATGGATTTGCAGAGAGCAAATTTGATGAATTCTAATCCACAGTCATTTACAGAAAACTAAATTAGATGCCCTGGTTCCAGGGTGCATCAAGTGTGCTGCAAACCCCAATGGGGGTATGAGAATTGGTCTTTCAGAAAGATTAAAACCAATAACATGTAGTAAGAACATGTGGTCTAATAGACCTGACTAAATTGCTGACGGAGGGGCTGGAGCACCAAATGTTTTGATAAAATAATTAGTTTCTATTGTAGACATGGTCTAGACCCACTGTCAGGTGTACCAGGGCAATTAGTAGGCAACAGTTGCCTAAATTGAGTAAATTCAATTGCAAAACAGGGTCATGTCATGTACATGCCATTTGGTCCACGTAACAAATACACAACTTGCCTGCAAAGCTTTTACATACTAGAAACACATCGCATTACTATTTGGTGTATCTGGGTTTGGATGTTAGGAATGCTTGCATTTCTGTGTCCTCTTTTTTTTTCTTTACTATTCCTTTCTTAGAAAAAGAAAAACAAAACAAAGCTTTGCAGTAGAAAAAAAAATTTGAGTAATAGTGAGCTCTTACAGTCTTTGTGTTGTGGACTATTATGTTTTTCTTGCTGTGGATTTGATCTCCTCCTGTGATGACCAAGTGCATGTGATTAAAGGAGTTATTAAGCTGCATGTAGAGAAATTATGATAGGCCACAGATTTGTAAACAGCAAACAAGTGTGTACAAAGGGACTAGTGCATTTTTATTCCAATTTTCTTGTCATTCATTTTTCGTTTGAGATAGTCCCAATGCTGGAGCAAAATGACCTTTTTGGTTATTAGAAAACAAAAACGAACAAAAATCAAAACAAATTTGAACATTGGTTACTTTAAAGATAGTGGGTTTGAAGTATAATTTTTAATGGCAGCTCTGAGGAGCTGGATATAAGAAAGTTTTTCAGGTTGGGTTTTTTTTCCTCTTTGAAGTATCTAAGGACTCAGATTCAAAATAAGATTTCTAGAAATCCCTAGGTACATAATACCCAAGAAAAAGCACCTCCAAACCTTTAACCATATTTCTAGACACTTCAGATATTTTCAAAAATTTAACTTCAAAGTATCTAATTTTACTTTGGTGTTACAGAAAAAAATGCTTCTTCTCTATAAAATTCTGGAAAATATATAGATGCTACCGGGAAATGTCAGGCAGGAATTCCTGAGGCTAGTGGCGGGTATTTTCCTCACTGCATGTGTAGAAGCAGAATCCTTGCGTACTGGCTTATTCTGTTGTCATTATGATAGTGGAAAGTACATCAGAACCAAAATACCTACAGGGTGTCACCAGGGGAGACCAAGAGTTCTCTGTCTTCTGCAGTGTTCCCACTGAGCAGTCGTGCTCCTGCTTTGGGGGAAATGCCAGACAGTGTAGTTATAGTTGGTTGCAGTCTTCTCAGTTATCCCTGAGAGAACTATCATTTTCAAATGATCTCAGTGTTAAATCACGCATTTTGTGGCTGCAAAATAAGTAATAATGCTTGAGGGTGGGACAGTTAAATATAAACCCAAAGGCTGGGCATGTTTATGTCAGATATGAAGTTTGTGGTTCTGTAATACAACATTGTCTTGCTTTATGCAACTGAGTAATATTTCTGGATACTGTAGGTCGTGCTTTCCTAGGCAGTGTTGAAACCTGAGATGCTACAAAAAGATAGTTGTAAAAAATCAGGTGTGTTTGAGTCTCTAGACTGCCTGGGGAAATCTGGGCCAGAACAGTGTAGTTAGTTCTTTTCAGGCTCCAACGAAGACAAGGATGCTTGTCAGGTGGTCCAGGAAGACAATGCTGGATGAGTGGGGCTCTGAAACACAGCTACCTTTCTTAGGCTTAAATTTCTCCAGACTCCACTTCCAGACTCAGTTCTGATGCAGTTTTTGAGCTGTACCATCTATAGGACAGCTGGCTTCTGTAAGACCGGAGGAGGCATTGGGACTCATATTGCTTCCCAAAGCCAAACTTTACTAACTTGAAAAAGAGTGTAGGTGTTTTGGGCCCAGTATTTAACAGCACTAAATCTACTTTGTTTGTGGGTTGTGTACACAGGTAAATGAATTGGAGAGAAAAGCTTAAACCTGGGGGAGGATCAGCTAATAAGTAATTAGACATTGGTATTTATGCCTGCAGTGCACTTTTCAGGTGGGAGAGCACAGCACAGATGGATATTGATCTTACGAAATATTTTAACCACTTCCTCTAAAAATAGTGGAGTTTGGTTACTAATCACAGTGCTGAGTCAGCACATTGTGATAAAATGATACAAGTAGTCCCTTATGAGCTGTCTCAGTCCAGACCAATTTGTTCACTGTAAGGCTGGGTTAGTTTGGCTGCAAAGGAGGAGTAAGTCCTGGCTTCTACTTCTTCAGGGACGTGTGTAGACGACAGTTCCCTGCAGCTATCTGCAGAGGTCCAACATGCTGGATTGGTGTATTAGACTTGGAAGGAAGGTAAATTGTTAGTTGGCTGAGCTTAACAAGATGAAATGAGGGAACAATTAAAGAAATGGGAGTTTATACTTTGAATATAATTGTTAGGGTGTAACTTTCTGGAACTTCCTCCTGCTTCTGAAAAGATGGGAGTTTCCTTCTCATTTAGTCAAACATTTCCTGAATGGGTGCCTGAAATAGGGTTGGTCTTTCAGTGGTGGAGGGGTTTTTTTTGGTTTGGTTTTTTTTTTCCCCTTCAGCAGTGACTCACCTGGCTTAATATCAGCAATAAACTTTGAGCCACAGGTGGAAAATGTGCAAAGCCAGACAATCCAGCTGGTATTCTACTTCTGTGTGTGGCGCTGACAAGAATATAGTGCTTGGACCAGTTTCAGGTGGGAGGAGATGTTTATTTCTCTTCCCACAGTCTGCAAAATGGCTTTTGAGACCTTGCAATCCATTTGGAATTAATGTAAGGCTTTTTGAAAAAAGTCACTCTGCGTTAATGCCAAAGCATGCCAATTGACAGGAGTATTTCTTTTGTCAATTTTGGTTGTTCTATGTCCCATTCCTTTTTTTCTTTTTTTTCCTGCTTCTTTTGCTGGGGAGATTTTTCCCATAGAGGAAGTTGGCTTTTTTGTGGAGTTTGGGATTGCAAGATCAGACTTCTCATTCAGTATGTTGGTTGAGTTTTCCCCTTACCAGATTGCAGAAGGCAGTCCCATCTCATGAGATGTGCTGGGTGTTCCAGTGCTGTGTGAGGGAGAGGTGACCAGAGGAGCTGGGGACTTGATTGTTTCCAGTAATGTTTTGAATGACTCCAACCCTCATATACAGAGCAAAGACTCAGGCCCTGGGCAGGGAGGAGATGAGAGACTATGGGACTTAGGCTGTACTTTTTTCTCAAGGAATGAGGTGATTATTGCTTCATGTAATGATACTCAGCAGCCATTGGCAGTGAGCAGGAAATACTGTCAGAGATGGACCCCATCGTACAGTAGGGATGTTTAGATATGGATTTAGACTCTATAACTAGCCCTCCCAGACCAAACAGAAAAGGAGCTCTGGGGTTTTGAGTTGAGACAGAACTTTGGAAAGCAATAATGGTGAAAAGATCAATGAGAATCTTACTGCATAGTGACAATTTGTAGCAAATGTCTCATTTTGCCTTTTGGCTGCAAATGCAGAAGCAAAGTCTAAGAGAGTGCATAGTACTGGGGGGTGGTGCTTTGTGTAGAAACTCACTGAATGGTCTGCGCATAAGGAAAGTAATTGTAAAGAAAATAATTAGATGTGGATAAATGTAAAGATTCAGATGTTAATCCCTCCCCCAAGAATCAAGCCTCTTACTTGAAGAATGAGCATAGAATTGAGGAAAGTCTCAGGTTGAACACAGGGAATACTTGGGACAACTTCAGGGAAGTGCTGCAGGAATCCTGGCAGTGGAGCATGGTACGGTGACAGTAGAAAACAGAACTCTGTGAGGGTGACCGAAGACTGTCACGCACTGCCACGGTTAGTTTGTAAGGTCTTACTGCCATCTAGTGACTCTTCTAGGGAAGAGCACAGAGTGTTTGCTCTCAAAGTGATACTGGACAAATGTATTTTCTTTCTCCCCTGCCATCCTTGTGCATCTGCATTATATCTGCCCCCTCTCTCATGCCCTGGGGTATCCATCTATCCATGCAAAAGGCAATGAAGCAGCAGACAGCTGCAGCAAACACCATTTGTCATCCAGTTAATTCCAAATGTCACAGTAGGGGCTGTTTTTTTTCCTCCCAAGAACCACAAAAAGGACCAAATTGTAACATGCCGTTTCTTCCCCTCTTCATCCTTTTGCTTCCTTTTCCCTGCAGAATACAAACCAAGCTATGTCCGGAATCGTTCGATCCGTTCTGTATCTCTTGAGCTGGATGGAGCCGTTTATACCTTGGGTTTAGAGGATGGCTACCAACCTGTCTTACCAAGAAACATCACCAAGCGGCACAAGGTACAGAGAGCTGTTCTTCGTGAGGAGGAAGATAAAGACATGGGGGAATACAGTGGCACTGGGGGCCTTGCAGAGTACACAGCCCCTAACCTAATAAAAGTGACTCACAGGTGAGTGCACGGGGGATATTTCTAAAGGCTTTTGCTGCTTAAGTGGCTGCTTTACCTAAATGAGCATGTTAACTTGTGATAAGCATATTGTGTCCCTTCTGGGTACTCACTCTAGCTTCACTAAAATTCTTACTCTCATCTGTACAACAGCTTTTGAGTTTGTTTTTGTTTTGTCATGTGCGGTGGGACATGAAGTTACTGGAGAAGTACAGCAGTGCTTTTCTGTCTTCTGCACTTGGGAGACAGCAATCACTGATCAGTGCGTGCTTCCAGTGAGGAGAACCACAATTCCTGTGAAACCAGGAAAGGCTCTACCCATGGAAGTGTCAGTGTGCAGTGGGTAACCTGGCCTGGCGGAAGGCCAAAGGCTCTAATTGGAGTGTGACCTCGTTTCATGTCATTGGTTGATTCGCATCTCAAACACCAAATCAGTCCTGAGGGAGGGAGCAGCCTCTCAAAGGAAAATCTGTATTATGGATGAAGTTGGATGGACCAGGAGCATTGGGAAATGGAACATATTGAGAGAGAGGTGAGGGAATTGTCTGGGCACTCTAATAGCTAAAGATCTTTTCCTCAGCGTGCAAGTCTAGGGACTGATGATGTATCTTCAACTGTACTTAATTAGCTTAGTCACCATTTCTGCTTGTGAATTATCAGGAAGTCCAGCAATCATTATTGATTACATGCTTTAACTTGTTTAATGACTAGCTCATGTAAACATGTGTGAGCCAGTTAGCTGCTGCTGAAATCTGAGGTTTCCATTTGACTGCTGTTTACAGGGTTAGGGAATTGCCTAACACGAGGAGACATAGCTAGGTTGGCATCAGAGAATTGTGCCCTCTGACCCCAGCTCTCATCAATGTTCCCATAAATGACCCATAAATCACTATTTGTACTTTTCTTCTGGAACAAGTTAAATTGGTTTTTGCTGCCTTACTGGGTGAATCCCAAATTCATATAAGGAACTGTCAGAAGGTTGTGCATAATGCATGAGGAGTCCCCAAGAACACTTGGAGAACAAAAAAAAAACAAAACAGTGGGACAACATGCATGAGATAGTTTAAAGAAAATAAAGGAGTATAGAAAATACTCAGCTTTAATTGAAGCAAACAATCAAAAATTACTATATGGTATTTGCTGACCCCCCAATAAACTTCTCAGGTAAATTTGTCAAGCTTTTGTGCATTTGTTTGTTTTTGAAATAATTTTAAAAGCTGGATTGCACTAGAAGTTAATGAAACAGAAACATGTCAGAGGGTATCTTGCTTTTGAAGTCAGGGTGATATCTTGGAAAAAAAAATTACCATTTTGTAGAAAGCAGCAAAATTTGCTCCCCCCCCCCCCGATA